ATTAACTCTCTTACAACACACATTGTTACTCTCCTGACTCCTGCTTAGTCAACAAACACAAGTAATCTAAACTCTTCTGCAAGATGTTAGTTTTGGAGTTCTATCCCATTATCTTCCTCTAAACAATTTAGTTTCAACTCTTCTTTTTGCTATGATTACACTCCAAGAGCCGTTACCTCAGACCTTCAGACGTAGCAGAGTCAGCATATAAACTAACTGGAAGTGGAATTTGTGAATTACAGATGCTCTGACACAACCGTGCCGTTAGCGAATGTTTAGAAGATCCCACGGGGCAACAAAACACACACATCCCACATCCACACGTACATGCAGGCACATACTCGACTTGTTTATCCTTCCATGCAGAACTAGACACGGTGCCTTGCAAGCCCTTAATCAAACGCAAGTAGACCCCTCCCTCTCGTGAGCACTGACCTAGCAATGAACCATTCATCTGCTACACAGTGCAAATGGTAGGTTGAGAACTTCAGCCTTGTCAGCTAACTGGTCAATGGGAAGAACTTTACTAAAATATCTGCTTCAAAGGTTGGGTATAAAATAATAAGATTAAGTTGGCGGTGGAGAGCGGATGGATGCCTTCTACTCAAAAATAGGATTTTGCCACTGATGAGGCAAAGCTGGATTCTGATGAGTGGTGAGAGTGTCTCTCAGGATTAAGTCGCGGATATGGAGGTCACCCGCCCACTTTGTTAAACTTTAAGTCAGCCACCGCCATCCTGGTAGCTGACCCTTTCTCCTCAATCCGGGTCGTTGGGGTCTTATCTCTTGTGGATGTGGGCTCCTCTGGCTTCACACAAAGCCTTATGTTGACATTCCAGAGGACCGAGCCTTGTGCAAACACAACGGGCCTCGCCAGATGGCTAGGCCAGGGAGAGCAGAGCAAGATGAAGGACACAGAGAATGAAGTACAAGGTGGAAAGCCAGAATCAAAGTGAAAACCACTTTTACCACCAAAATGTTAGGCAACACTAGTAAATCATCCGCCTGTCACACTGCCAGATGGCCTCAATTTCAACCTTGTAGCAAATGAAGTGTCCTGTCCTGCAAAAAAACACCCACTTTCACTTTTGAACATAAAGGGGGTCAGCTTGTGTCCACTGGCAGCAGCCCCATCTCCCTAAAATTGGTCAAAGCTAATATTTGAGGGTCAGTGGGTTAAGCTTCAAGACATTAGGCACCCAAACTCCTTCAGGGCTTTGGCCAGGGGTGATGGCTTGTTTTTATTGATGGAGGGCAAGAAAATACCGATGCTAGTTGAGTCCTTGGTACATTTTCACTGGATGAGGGCAGTGTGGAGTTTATAGACCATAAACATCCATAGACAATGAAATATCAGTACGACTCTAAATACAGATAATCTTGTTGGTTGTCATATAATTAATCTAGGATTGCCAGACAAATGCATAGTTCATTTCTGATTACTCAAAATGCCTCTGAATACAGCTAAATAAATTCAAAATCAATCAGGGCAAAGAATTTTTTTTAAACATACCTGATATTTGATAAGTGCAAATTAAACACGAGCCCTAAGCTTCATTTGGTTCCCAGGCTCTCGCATCACCGAGTTATTGGTGACCAAAATACTTATTTCTACCTACGTCACTGACAATGCATAAGCAGACCTGATAATGTATTTCTTGATAGAACATGCCCTATAGAAAATCAGATGACGTGTATTTGTTTCACATTAATGCTGTGACATCTCAGAGGGCATTTTGTCAAGTTGGAACAATCTAATCCTCTATTTGGTCTCCATGGAGTCCCCCCCGCCTCCCTGCCTCTGCAGCACAATAGGCAGTCATTCTGATAAAAGTCTGCAAAAGCCAGTGTGGATATCCGGCTGCCTTTCTCTTCTCTCTACCCCTTTAATGAGGGTGTATGTTGCTAAGGTTTATCCTGCCACTCTTTCTTTCCAAACCCCCTCCAGTCCTCTGTAGCTGCTTTCATCCCCGTTATTCTATGGAAAAAGAGGAATGTTTTCTGACTGACTATCTGACTTTTTCCTCCAAGCCCTTTTCAGGTTCCGGAGACATGAGGGGACACGTCTGTTAGAGGAAGGCTTGGAACTAAAGTTTGTATTTTTATTCACAACAAGTTGAAGCTTGGTAACAGAGGGGGTGGATTCCTGGTTTATGTATAAAAAAAAATGCTTTAGTGTGTATGATGGAGGTTTCAGTCAATCTTCTTCTTCTTTTTTTAAAAAAAATGTTCATCCATCCACAAAATGAACTGTAGCAACTAGAGTTGGGTATCTTTCACATTTGAACTGTTACCAGTACCTACAATTTAGTACATTCATATTCTCTAAAATAATACATTTTACACATAACACCAGCTGCCTTGGTCACTGTTTGACAGTGTGTCTAATGTTGACATCAGTCCCTGTTCGCATACTGCAATATTAAATAGAAATGTTAGAGTCTTTGCCTTTGAAAGTTTGTTAATATACTGCCTGTTTACGATAAATAGCATTGTTATAAGAAATTTCTGTGCCGCTAGTCAAAAGACATCAACCTATTTCTCAGACAACAACTTATCCAACTACCTAACGGCCAGATGTGGATAGGGTGGCCGCACTTACAGTTTCATCTTTATCATCATTAACCATGGGTTAAGCTTCCTCTACGATGACACACGTGCTAACGTTAGCTGTAGGTCTGTATCCAACATGGTAGACTCTTCACATTGTATATTTTGTATTTGACCAGTATTTCTTCAGATTGAATGTGTTGCCATGGTCGGCTTTGCGTTGGGTAAGATAAATGTGTTGAATTGTAAAAAGTTAAACCACACTTAGACTTTCAGGATGCCACTATTGCTCTTTGAGTTTGTCTGGTTTCTTGCAAACATTGTCTTTACCTTTCAAAGCTGTAAGGTGACTGGTGTTGTGAATAAAACTCAATTGAACTAAATTCAGTTTCAGCATGCGTGCTATTACATGGGCTTCCTCTTTTTCTTCCTCTGACCCAGGTGTACTCTGTACCCAAAAACTTAGTAGGTTTAAATAGGTGTTTAGTAGAACCGACATAATTCAGTCAGTAGACTAAAAAGTAAAAGTTAGGTACACAGTCCTGCAAGTAACTTTGGTCAGTAATGTTTCATATAGCTAACAAGTTCATATTTAGCAGTTAATTTTTCACTAAATAATTCTCTGAATCATTATCGTAAGCTACTTTATGGTTATTGTTAATAAGAAAAAGTTAACACAGCATGCTAACAATATTCTTTTTAGCTAGCACAACAGTTGTTAGCATAGTTGACTGTTGTTGCCTCACTGGGTTTTTCTATAACCCATCGGCTGTGTGTGTGCGTGCAAGCTAACCACTATTAGCCAAATGCAACCAAATCCACATCTGCCACTAACAATCACACTTGCTAATAGATCAGCTTTGATTATCTTACATCAAATAAGGTCAGACAACTGAATCTGTTGATTTAAATCTATACTGATAAGAATAAAATGGAAATCAATTAGCTAATCAGAACATTAGAAGGCTAACAGACTCTTCGGCTGATCAGAGTCAGACGGATAGAGACGCAGAGGAAAGCTATCAAGAGAATGAGGAGTCCCCTATTCATTAACAAAACTGCCGGTATAACCACTGGCACAAATCCAATATCTAATTGGATCAGGTTTACTCCAAGTTTGTGATGAGCTCAGAGGTTTTGCATCTGGACAGCTTCTATCAGAAATGAAACAGAAAAACGTCATCTGCCTGTTCATAGAGCCCCTGTACATTTGTGCAGTTTGTGTGATTTAATGGCTGACAGAGTAACAAATTCCTCTCTTTACATAGTAAGCAAAGAATCCAAGCATACCAGTAGTAACAGCTAAATCAACTCTACCCTTATCAGATACAAAGCGAAAAGATATTTAGGTCAGAGGAGAGTGCAGCTGTACAACACAATGTGCAGTGTTAGGAAAACCAAACAAAGTGCCACTTGCTGCAAAACTAATCAACTTCACACTGAAAACATTTCAAAAAGCCAAACATTGGGTCGTGATATCTTTTTTTCCATCATTTATTTCGCAAATGTGGCATAAACACTTGCAAAACAACATCTTAAAGTTGGTCCAGTAAAAAAAAAAAAAAAACGACAACAAAAATAAAATAAAATAAACCACTTTTATGATTTAACACTTTGTTTTTCAGCTTTCAATTCTGTCACGGAAATTTAAAACCTATATCTAGTCAAACTGAGGGAGCAGACTGCTGGTATGCGTTTCCAAATTCTTATGTATTTTAATCATATATAAATATCCAGTCTTCTTATTTCCTAAAGCATTGCTAAGAACGACTGGATAGAAATGCCATTAAGATCTACATAAGAAAGGGATTAGCAGACTATAAAATGTACAGTTTTTCGAAAAATTTAACTTAATATTCACATTCATATATAAAACTTACAAAACCTGGATCTTTCAAACCCACTAAAAATAGTTTTTTTTCCTGTTACTGTTGAAAGATCATTTTAAATTACCATACATTTTTAATGGATTATTTATGTATTATCAGCATCATTAATGTCATAATTTCTTCCATATTATTTTTTATATTTTTTGATTCATTTAAAAAAAAAAAAAAAAAAAAAAGAGTCAATAAATTAACATGCTACCTCGGTCCCTGAAAGCCAATACTCGACTGTGTTACTGGGTGAGTGTGAGACAGGTGTTTGTGTGTATTAGAGTGTGTATCCGTGTGTGCGTGTGTGTGGCAAGAAACAGAACACATAACCTGTTAGCACACCTGCTTTCAACTCATATAGGGGGTGGTCGGGGTGAGGGTGGGGGTTATATCCAAGTCCATACAAAAAATAATTCATTGTAAATATATAATATATTTTTATACATATTTGAATATATTTACAAATATACCCAGCACTATACATTATACTGTGTATTTTTTCCTCCAGGATAGTTGGGAAGGTTTATCAATAAAACTGAAAAAGAAATGCATTAATATTACAAAATAAACAAAAGTTTTGCTTTTTTTTTTATATTTGCTCTCCACCTATTCTTCTGTTTTGTTAGTCGCAGCTCTGTCTCTTAGTCCATTTCCTATTTGCCGTCCTCTTCTGGTCCCTTGTTTTTTTCCACAAGTTCACATGAACCCATACATTCTTCCAGGAGTACACAACAGTCTTGGGATGCCAGCCACTGGAATTGGACCACCAAACATTGTTGATTGCAAAAAAGGACAAAAAAAAACACTCTGGGTATAAACATGAGAACCAAAATGAAAAATCTCTGTTTATATCAAGAGAGGAAGAGGAGAAGAGTCCCTTGGGAACATCACTTCATTCAGTCAGTACAAAAAGGCTTCTTTAAGGTCCCTATCCTCTCCTTTAAGACCTCATGTGAGCATGTCCTATATTTATATATAAAGTGTGAGCGTATGGCAGTATGAGAGTGTGACAGCAGCGCTGCCACCACCCAGTCCTGTCTGGGCCCATTAGTCCACCGGGAGCCACAGGAGGTGATGGGGAGGGCGGGTGGAGGAAATTTGGAGCGTGTTTTAAGACTCCGACAGGTAGGATTAGGGTAGGTCAAACTAGGTGGACGAGGGTGGATGAGGGCTCATGTTTTGACATTCCCGTTGATGTGCTGGTACTTGGGGAGGCAGGGCTCGTCCGGTAATGGGTCGTGGGAAAACACGGAGTCGTCGCCGGAGGAGCAGGAGCTCCGAGTGTCGGGGAAGCTGGGGGAATACTGCTCTGTTGGGGCACACAGGTCCAGATACTCCTGCAGACACAGAGAGAGGAAAGGGAGGGTTGGGTGAGATCGCTTACACGCAGAACAAAAGGAAGGAACGTTTCGAAGACGTAAGAGGAAGAAGATCTAGAACAAACACAAGAACGCAAATTTCATGCTGAAATCCAGTCGACAGGATTAGGGACTTTCCAGAGCATTGGGAGAGCAGTGGAGTAGAAGAGTATCACCTTTATTATGGTATTTATCCAAACCCTGGGAGGACTTATGAAATGAAACAGAAAAAAAATGCAATCTTAAACTGGATACTGTATGAAAATATTTGCAGGAATAATAGGTAATAAAGTGAATGTTGGACTGCTGGCTGAGCTTGAAGCTAGCAGGGCCGACCTGGACTGGACGCATTTTCCGTCCACCACAGAGTGGTTTGAGATGGATAGGATTTGGGGACAAGAGGATACATTTAGAGAAGGAAACTTGGGTAGGGATGTGGCATAAACCTCAATCTCACTTCACTCCAAACAGATCTGATATCTGACACTGAAGCTCCAGACATAAGTACTACAAGATTGTTGGAAAAAATAAAGAAACTGGCAGAGCACAGCTAAATGAAAACGAAATAAGATGGAAAGCTGTTATTAATTTTTGACTTTAGCCAGCATTGGGAAGTTGTTTTGGTCTTTTCTGTCAGCCGAGGCAGCCTTCTTCCCCCCTTTTTTTCCCCTCCCAGTCTTTCATGGCTGTTACTGGGACAAGTTGTGAGGAGGAAGAGTTCTTGGGGTTTTGTAGAAAATGAGCATTGGCTTCCATTTTCCCAGCTCAACACGAAAAGGCTCATATTACTAAAGATCTCCACATCTGCCAGCGGTTTGGGGTAAAAGGGAAAGGATGGAGAGGGGGAAAAAAAGCAAGAAAAAGACGCTTTATTACATTTCAAAAGTTCAAACTCAAAGTGGGGCTTTGCTGGCATAAACTCCTGAAGCTCGAGCTCCAGAGAAGACGAGTCCTGACAGCTTTCCATCGACGGCCTCTTTTCAGGTCGGCACTCGGATATCACACGAGACAGGAAGGGGAATGGAAAAAATAGTGGGCCGTCATAAGGAGCAAAGTATGGATTTGATGATTGGGCAACTTTACTTGGCCGTAGCAACTATGTTAGGCCTGGATCAAATCATCTGGCCCCTTTTTTTCGGTCACTATTTAGGCCTTATTTCAATAATGTCGCGGCTAATGCACAAAAATCCTTATGCAACATTTTTCTGACACATGCATGCATTGGCAAGAGCGTAATTTGGTTTGGATGGAGAAGCTTGTGTATCATATTATTATTTTATTGCTATGGAATGCTCAACTCCCATTTGCCAGCAAGGTTTATGTAGTGTGAATTCTGACCACCCAGAAATCAAGAAGACAGGGCTGCGCTAACCTCATTGGTGCTCAGGGTTAGGATGCGATCCAGATCCTCTACTAGCTGCTTGAAGGTGGGTCTCTGGGATGAGATGGCATGCCAGCAATCTTTCATCATCATGTACCTGAGAAAGAGATAATTATGGTCAATTTATTAAAAGAAAAACTCTGGGGATGAAGGGAAGGACAGCAAATTGTTTAGGGAAGTATACAGTAAGCTGCTCACCCAGATTTCTCCATTATCAAAGAAAAAAAAACAAAAAACAAACTGCAGACTCTGACTTTTTTTTTTTCTCCCCACATTGTGGAGCCCTGCTGTTGATTAGAAACATGTCTCTCAGTGTTTTGGATTTATTTTAATACTATAATGTGTACTCTCTGTTTATCCGCCTCTGCTATTCCCCCATCAGCCCTCTCGCTGTGGCACCGCCACAGAAACTGTGCCATTGTCTGCTGACTGCAGAGGTCTCATTGTGAATGAGGACACTGATAGCAGACAGGCACAGCTGTGCAGAAGCCCGACTGAGTGGACACAGAGCCGCGTAGTCATGGATCTGATGGGAGACTGGGCTGGCATTCAGTCTCGATGCACGACGTGATGTGTATTTTGGTAGCAGCTCAGTTGGAGAATATGTGCTTTTCGCAGAAAAAAAAAGAAGCTAAACTTACAGCTCGTTGGTGCAGTTTCCGGGCTTGTCCATGCGATGGCCCTCTTTAAGCAACTTGAAGAGCTCCTCAACGGGGATGCCAGGGTAGGGTGAGCCCCCTAGGGTGAAGATCTCCCACATCAGCACCCCAAATGACCAGCTGGCAACACAAGAATGAACATACATACACATTAACATGTTAACCAGGGTGTTTAAGAATGACTAGAGCAGGAAATATATATCTGTGTAAATAGTGCTCCAGAATTTGCAAACCAGTACAAATGTCCTTAAGCTTCTAATCATTTACATACATAACATTTACTTGGCTATGGGTTAGAAAATTACAACAGTGTGACAGCCGTGGTGTCAATGCCCTCTTTCTGTTGTCCAATGACTCGTGGTTCAAACGCACTGCCAGTGCTACTCTGGCCCCGATCTCAATGATGGCTTTTGTTCCCGGCTGGCCAGTTGCACAGACTCGCATTGTCTGATCGCACCACACCAAAACAAACGCTGGACCACCCACTATTGACAAAAGAGCCAGAAAAGACAAAAGAACTCCAGAGATGGCTGGTGACTATTAATTTTTAACTACTTCCTCATTGCAGCATCCGGTTGTTTAACATCATCGGCTTTCATGCTGCTGATGTCATCATCGCGTACCGAGCGTTTCAAATGAATCATTCGAGCAATGACAGCACGCTTGATTCATGTTCACCCAATGGCTGCAGCTATTGTAACGTGCAGACACATTGGACAAAACGCAGTGTGTGCACATGCATTCAGGCAACCACAATCTGTGTTAGTGGTCTAACTAGGCAAGTATGCACAGAGAGGCAGGTTGGCCATTTATCAGGATCTTCCATCTGTTTACACAACCAGCCAGCCAGGTTTCTTCTCTGCTCTATCACTGCACTTGTTGACACACTCATTTCTCCTTTCTGAGATTGTAACCATCGCTCAGCACTTGTTGGGGAGAACAAGTTTGTGTCTACTTGCAGTCAGCCATGACGTACCAAACAAAGCAACACGCTTGGGGTCAATTTACCTGACCTGGAATGCGGCCAGGTGGATCTGTATGTACTCCAGCCAACTAGATGCAGAATCTACTTAAAAAACAACCAGTCAATAAACATTCAGTTGGGTTTTTTTGTTCTCTATTGTTGAAATTTCTGATGACAGAATGCAGCACAAAAACCAGAGAATAAATGAATATGCGATTCGTATGCAAATATGAATACTCGAGGCCCTGAAAGCTGGACTGTAAAGTCCCCATTTGTCAAAACAACAGCACACGAGTTCAATTGGAATTCATGTATTCATTTAATCTGATGTCACGTATGGATCGCTTGTCATTCTGGCGACCAGCGTAAGCGCCGCTCCAACTGCACCTCTGAGAAAAAGCCAATTACTAAAAGTGAGTGATGAATCGTAATTAGCGGTGAGCTAATAAGCAGAACTACAGTGGCCACTTCATGACTGCACCCCACCCCCCATTCAGCTCCTCCCCCTTGTACTTCCTAGGGTTATTGATTGCTGCTGTGGAACACGAAGGGCATCATGTGTACTTACAAATCCTTATGTGCACAAACAATACACAGAGGCACGGACAGGAAAGAAATTCTCTATCAAAGGGCTTAGACGGATAAGTGCTATATTTAGTGTGCTACTGCTGTAGGACTGAAACACACACACACATAAAGCCTCCCTTCCCAGGGGTCAGCATGCAAGGCATTTATCTAATTGCCACATACACTTTCTGCCGCCAGTGTCTGGAGCAGAAGCTTCAAACAATGCTGTCAGAACACATAAGACTCAAACACCAAAAAGAGAGGGACGCGCTCCCTTTGTTCTGTTTTTAGAATGAGTACTCTTGATCTTAAAAAGAGACAGAGACAGAGACAGGTCAGCAATTCACATACCAGATGAATGAAAATAAGAAGAGTAGGGGAAAAGGGGGGGGGGGGTATTTTGATCGTGGAACTGCTCCAAAATGATGATCCACATGTTCAAAGTGTTGCTGAATAAGGAGAGGAGAGTGAAGAGGGGATGGCAGGGGGTTAAAAGAGGCTGGATGCAGGGAGGATGAGGCCTGCACGGGGAGGCTGCAGCATTGTTGCGTTTAGAGGTGCATGGGGGGCCCAAATAAGACGGGAAACTTCCGAGCAGGGCCAGAGGAGCAGGGGTGAATCAGAGGGGGAAAAGAGGAGGTGCTGGTGGGCTCCGGGTTCCTTCTAGGCCCTTTGAAGCCGGCCAGATTAGTAACACGGCATTGGCTCCAAGTCTAGCGTGTAATCCTCACTTTTGCCACAGACTGGCCACTACTGGCCCCCTACAGCCAGTCATCCCCCTCAACCTAACACTCACCAACACTGCACCAAAAAAAAAAAACAAAAAAAAACAAAACAAAACAAAAAGCCATCACCTACCCTCTGTTCCTGTACCCCATGAAAAACAATCACTCTGACTGCAGGCTATAGAAAATAGCTGTGACAGCATCTTTTACTTTATGATAAAGCTTAATGTACCACTGATGTGAGTAAATGGATTCTGGATTATTTACAGTGGTGGGACACAGAAACACTTTGTTATATACTTACACATCACTCTGGTGTGTGTAGACCCGGTCGAAGAGTGCTTCTGGAGCCATCCACTTCACCGGGAGACGACCCTGAGGACGGACACACATACACACACACACACTCAGGTGAGAGGTCAAATAAAATGTACCCCTTAAAAGACTGCCGAGCTCTAAATTTCTTGCTTCATCAGCAAGAAATTCAAATCCCTCAAGACCAGGAGATCTCATTACTCCTGGAAAAGCTGATATGTGGAAGTAGTCAAGGGAATAAGGCACTAGAGGAGCGACTGTCTAGGGGAGAATGGATTTCCCTGAGGAACGTTTACATTGTTAGGGCAATAGAGCTGATAAACAGGGTCACGGATAAAGAAGAGTTTATCACTGTAGCATTGAAACACTTGCCGGGAAGCTAAGCGTAGCTGACAAGGCGACCTTGGTGAGTATATATTATCATTCAGACACTAAATAGGTATTCTTTAGTTACAGATGCTGTGGTGGGCAGCAAGTTAAATACACAAAATCTGAATTTGCTGTAGTTTTCATTCATTCCATAAAGAATTATGAAGCAATTCAATAAAAGGCTGATGTAAAGTGTCCCATTCCTGTCAGACCAATGAAGATTAACAGAAATATTAAAAAAATGCAGCACTACAATGATGCCTCTGTCTTTATTGGTCCCGTTTCAATCATTGTCGCATTTGCTTGCCCTAATCTTCGTCACCGTCAGCATCATCGAATATTGTTGTTGTTGTCAGCTAGTTCTCAGCGTGATTGTGCATGCGATGAAAAGGCAATCATGCATATGAAATGAGGATGCGCAGGCAACAACGTTCTGCGGTGGGAAAGAAAGACACCACTGGGCCGCTATGGAGATGTCAATTACGGCTAAGCTGCTGCTCCCTCCCCTCTCGCTCGGTCTCTTTTCTGGGCTAATTGTATAAGTGTCGATGGAACCAAAAGAACAAGAGACTGAGGGGTAAACAGGCAGAGTCTCCAGAAGCACTAGATTCACAGGCCGCCTGGGAACCTGCAGCCTTTGCCAAGACACCAGCGGAGGAAACGGAGTGAAACAGAAAGATGAGGGAAGGGAAGGAACTGGAGCAAAAGGAGAGGAGGGTGAACTCATCCCCCGCTGAAGCTCTCCAAAAAGCATCCGCTGACACGCAGAGTACTTACATTGGTCGTCTTTTTATAGTAGTCGATGTTGTGGACATCCCTGGCCAGGCCGAAGTCGGCGATCTTCATGATGTTGCTCTCTGTGACCAGGACGTTCCTCGCTGCCAGGTCTCTGTGTATACACTGAGATGTGGATTGAGAAAAGAGGGGGGAGGGAGAAGACGAGAATAAGACAATTACCTCATTCTGTAAATAAATCAACTTGGAAACAGGTGCATGCTTTATTTGGGATGGTGTTAAAGTGTCTGTGGTGCATGAAATCATCCAGAAATCTCCTGCACAAAGGGAGTGCTGAACTGAATAACATGACGCCACATCGACTACACAGTCTTCAACAAGCCTGGATCAGTAAAGATTCCTCGCATACCTTGACACATGTATGGTTGTACGTATGCACTTTAGCGTGTGCGTGCGTGTGAGGCAGCGTGCTCTGTCACATTCCAACAGTTAGAGGGAGCGTAATGCTGTTTTCGGCCAACATGGCTGCACCTCTATTGTGAAAACTTAACAATTCTTCTACACAGAGGGGCTTTTGTAGTGGAATGAGAGACAATGTAGGGATTTGGGCAGAGAGGCGGGGTAAGAGTTGTGTTTTTAGGAGACAGTATTCCCACAGTGAAGCACATACAAGCTTCTACGTAAAACCTTTGTGGATACAGCACATCAAACCCTCTGTGTGCTGGCACCGAGATCTGTTTTGGCAACCAGCAAGCGTGCGATCGATATGAGAACAGGGCATTGTCTGTGTCTGTGCGTGTCCTCTCCTTACCTTCTGCGATGCTAGGTACTCCATGCCCCGCGCCACCTGATAAGTGCAGGAGACCAGATCTTTGAACGTGAGCTGTTCGTCTGAGACACGGGCGATGTCGTAGGAGTATTCCATGCCGGGTGGCCGGCGGGCTCGGAGGTACTCCCTGAGGTTACCTTTGGAGGCGTACTCGACTATGACATAGAGGGGGCCTGCACAAGAGACGGAGCCAAACAAGTGTTTGAACTTGAATTATTCCCTTTGAAACAAAGTGACAAAATTCAGAGTGAATTTTAATGACAAACAGAACATTCAGATCATAAAACCACCGCTTGCTTCATGGAAATTTCTGCTCAAAAACAGTTGAGAAGGGCTGTGTGAGAAACAGCATTAAAGCAGCCAGTCTGTGCAGAGCTGCATTTCAACAGTTATGTGCATTTCCAAAACTCAGAATAGCCAATTCTTTTTCTTCTTTTCTTTTTCACAGTAATTGCTCCAAACACAAATCTGCATATGAATAGACGATTCCTGTTGCTTTGCATGCAGCTGAACAGCCCGTGTGCACAGAAAGGGACTACGCTCACTGAAGAGCAAACCACTGACTATCATGTGATGACAATGTAGCTTTTTATCATCTTTTTTAGTGACAGCTACACTGGAAACCTCAAAGACTTTAACATTGTCCCCTGAGACTAACTAAGCAGAGTAAGCCAGTGGGTTTTTAGTATTGTTTTCATGGGGACTCAACAAGTGTGCTTAAGGGCACTAAAGGGTCCTGTGGCAAACCTTTATGGCATTGTACAGAAAATCAGCAAACTCATCTGCATATGCATGCACACTGATTCTCACAATCAATGCACTCACCATCTTGTGTACAGGCCCCCAAAAGGTTAATGATGTTCTTATGTTTGCCGATCATCTTCATCATCTCCATCTCTGACACCAGGTCAGACAGGTCTTTCTCGGTGGCGTCATCTAACAGCAGAAGAAGTCACATATTAAAGGTTGCAAAGAGAAGGTCTGAAAAACACACACCCCATATTCCAAACGCCCCTTTAACCCTTTGGCTCAGGACTAAGGAGCTGTCCCTTTAGACAGCACCCTGTTTTTTAGGTGCGCCTGATTAAGTGCGGATGACAGACAATGTCGGCTCGAGTTACAGCAGCGAGGGAAGCTCCCCACAATGACTACAGAGGCATCCTTTCAGCACCAGGGCAAGGGAGGAGAAGGAATTAAAGACGTTCAATCTGGATTCATTATCTGCTGCACAGGCTCCTTTTGTCATGGAACTGATTGAGCAAGTGGAGATATCCCAATAGCCAGACTGGCATTGCCTGCATTCCACTGCACCGTTACCGTATCTGGAGTCGTTTTAAAAAAAGCAGACGTATACTGTCGAGGTCGGCCCAATAGCCTGCTGCCATGTCTGATCTCACCGTACCCCGCAACCTCAAACCAACCCAGTGCCCCCTCCTCCTGCTTTCATTAATCTCAGCAGTGCTGCTAGTGTGACTTACTTCTTTGTGTGGGTGCTGACTGAGCTCCAGCCAGCTGCTGCTCTGGGGTCAGGTATGTAACCGCACCCTAACCCTTACCTTCCCAACCTGCATCCCTCTAGCTGTCACTCAGCAACCACCAATAACGAATAATAACGACAGCCCCAGGCTCCACCACGCACCTTTAGTGAACCCTCACTGGAGCATAAATCACCTATAAAATGTTCTCACCTTGCTCAGAAGACACAATGAAGTAAGTGTACATCTTATCCCCGCGGTCTGACACACAACGCTACTGAGACTCACTTACCTTTCAGCATCTTGACTGCAACAGTTACAGCCTCCTTGGGTTTGTCCTTATCGATGCCCAGGGCCTCTGCCATTACGACTTGGCCAAAACAACCCTCACCAAGGGGTTTGCCCAGGGTCAACCTGCAGCCACAGAAGGAGAAGCAAGAAGGGAAAATAGACAGGAAGCTGATTAGCTGCAGAAAGGGAGACAAATGCATGAGGCTGATTTGTGTGCACTGACTCACCCACAGTGCTGCAGTAAACAGGTTAGAGTGTGGGAGAGAGGGTTAATGAAACCTGGCACAGAACCAGCTTGTCAACCTCACCCTATCGGTTTTGGGTTTTTTTCTCTAGACTGCTACGTTTAAATCAGATTGTGTCTGTGCGAGTGTTTTATTGGCACAGCGACCGCAGCCTCTGCCAGGGCAGTAGGTAGGAAGGCAGACGTGGCTACGATAATCGTCTGATAAAGTCAGGGAGAGCACTAATTTCTAAACTGTTTACCCTCTCTTGGCATGTTTCAATATACACTCTTCTCAAGTCATTACACAGAGCCTACTTTAGCCTTAAAACATTGGCCTCAGAAGGATGGAATTCTTCCTTTAGTTTGCCTTACAGGTGCATGTTTCAAAATCTGGTGTTAAATTTAACGTCCAAACTCTATTACACTGATTTATCAATCAGGGGGAGAAATTCTTACACAGGCTCTTTCATAACTTTGCATCAGAGCTGCAGCACCAATCAGACCACTGAGCTGGTAGTGTAGCCTCCTGTCTGTTATTTGATTGACAGTAGAGGCCCTTACCTTAAGGCTCAGTGTACAGGCTATGTAAATATTCAAACTGGGACATGAAAAAAGCCTGTGGCCCTTATGTAGTAACACAATCCTCTGTCTGTCCACACTCAATGACAACCAGTCTGTCTTTCCAGCCACACATAATCAATGTTATTTTTCCTGCACACAAACTGCAAACGTTAGCATTCCTAAGCCTTCTGCAAGCCCAACGTGATCCCTCGGGCGGTAGGATGGCAAGCAAGGAATAAAGACTCAAACAGAGGCATGCATTTAGTCAACCCAGACAAAACAACTATGGTTGCTTCATCTAAAGGGGGTCTAAGTGTTAAAAAAAGCAAACCTCAGCAGAATGCCATTCAGCAGCACACACTCACAAAGTCTAATATGACACCAGAAATGTTTTTCCCCCACTGATGACTGGTGCTAAAAATTTTTATTTATGATCCAAGTTCTGTTTTTTTAACAACTCATTTTAACAAAAGACAGGCCTCCTTTCAGACTAACAGCTTTGGATTTTCATTTTTCATTTCAAAACGCAAGGCCTCAAGACAGCTTTAAACTGCTCTAACCTTTGCTGTCCTTTTAAATCCACCCTAAAGCTTATCACTGGCTGTAGTTACTGTGACTAACCGAAACCTCAGCGGTGCTAATTCCTCTGGTATGAAACCGAGCAAACACTCCTAGCCCAAACATGCAGATGAAAGCTGTGAATGCTAACCACTAATTAGCACAGCTTCGCTCCTTCCCAACAGAAGCATGTGTGTGTGTCACTACGGGTGAGCGAGAGTGTGACGTAGCAGTCGTTGTAATGATGAGGCGGTGTGCAGCGTGCCAAGTTCAGGTCATTTTACTAAAGCACCAACAGATGAGCCAGCAGCCCTTTATCTCAGTTACCACAACTGTGCTTTAACAGTTAGTCATTAAAGTCTGCACTCTTCACCTATAAAAATGATTAATCTGATCATTTAGCAGCTGAGATCAAATCAGATAGAGGCTCAAAGACGGCCCCAAAAAAGTATTATGCATACCATCAAACAATTACTGCACACAGGCTCTGAATCCTTAGTGTTTTTCTGAATACCCCCTTTCAAAAGAAAGCAGGACTGGGTAGCAGATCAGCATTTTCAGGTGTTTTTTGGTTTATGCAGGAGCTGAATTTGATTTACATAATTGTCTATTTGGCATTTTGTAAAGTGGTGAGACATGCAAATAAGAACAGGGAGTTCTTATTTGCGTGACACGAGCCTAATCTCAAATTCTTTTCTGAGGGAAAAAATAATCAGTTATGGTTTTCCTTTCTTCGGGGTACAAAAACACCAGTAAGTAGGAAGGATAATGTCTGTGACAGGAAAAGGAAGAATATTTCTCACCTGTCTCTAGAAAACTCCCACCGCGGATCCTCAGGAAGGTCGTACTCTGGGATTGGCTCATCGTGTGCAGAGCTCCGCCGTGTCGTGATGCGCACCAGAGGCGTGCTAGAGTTCATGGAAGAACTCGAGTCTGCTGAGACCTGCAGGATGAAAGGGGATTGGCTGATCACCGCGGTCTGGATTCACAGATCAGTTAGAGCTCCGAGGCATCACTAGAGGAGTAATTGAGGCATGTACGACTGACTACTTTATTTACAAAATAACAACATTGCTGGGAACTCTGGCGCGTCAGCACAAGTAGTATATTTGGGAATTCCACATTTAAGGCTTTGGTATTACGATAAAGTCGTTCCCAGAGCCGGAGATTACATTTCAATGATGATTAATTGAGCAGCAACAGTAATTTTGATAAATATGTGTTAAATGCTCAGCTTCGCCACCGTCTCCAGGGCTCATCTCTCCTCCCTCCAGCCCAACCTTACCTTGACACAGGAATCAGTCTCTCTGCAGAATGTAATCCAACACTTTTTGTACCTTTTGGTTTTCCTTTGAGGGAAAACTGTGGCTCATACACAGGGTAAAAAAAAGAAAAGGGAAACAAAAAAGAAAAACTGTGGCTGCAGTTTCAGGCAGCAGTGCTAACTTGTACAAAAATGCACGCCACCTAAATGAGATCTGGAAGTAGATTCTTTAAGATACCACATCAGTTGTAATCTTTGTGTTATTTACAAGCGTATCAACCATGTATGAAAGCCCTGAGAGGCATGTGAGAAAGAAACAAAACTGATTACTGCATTTTTTTATCTCAAGTCTTTGCGAGCTCTGTTGCTCTTTATACGACATGGCCTTACTTTGGTCTTTTAAAAGAAATGGTTATCATAAAAAAACAAAAAAATAGCATGTTTTTTGGTTTGTTTGTTTAAATTGTGGCAACACCTTCATTAGGAGAGAAAACTATGTAGCTCAGATTGCGCCCCAATGTTTTTTCCCCTCACCTCTCATTATTTGCTATGCAGCTTTTATTTTTTCAGCATTCCTCTATATCAGGGGTTGTCAAAGGTACAGCTGACAAAAACGATCCCATTTGGCCCCTCGGACTAGAAGCGTGAAAACTGCAAAGAATGGGTCCCAAATTTGGAGACTTTTTACTGCTTATTTATTTATTTTAGTGGAGAAGCATTGTGTGTTGCAAGGTTAAGTTTATGCAAACCAGAGGTTGGAGTCCTCATTCGTTTTATGACGTTCTTACTGACAAAGAAATAACCCCTGGCCTGCTGGACCACACCAAAGAAAGGTGATCAACGCAATGAGCCATGCTGACACATTTGCTTGACTTGCAGCATGAGTGTTTCTTTGTAATGCAGTAAAGTGACTGAATGTGGAAAAAAAAGTGCATTATTATAGTTCGATTTGTAAAAGAACCAGTAATTAAAAGTTTATTTAATAGATTATTATGCACTGGCTGTGCATATCCAACCCACTGGAGATTAAACTGGCCTGTAAGATAAGTTTGATACCTCCAGTAAAAACAACTATATCATCTAAACTGTCTGTTATTATGTTTTGTGTTTTCAGCATGTATGCAATGTGTGTTATTCTCCTCTAGAGGTGTAAGATGCCTTTAGAACTCTTTATCTACTTTCTGTTACCTGGCGGCGCAGGGGGATCTGCTTGGTCAGTTTGTGAACCGCTGGCTGGCCACCAAAGTCGGGCTTCTTTGCAGTGTTCCTCATGCGGCACACCACCACAATGCCCACCATGCAGGCAATGAGGAAGACGCCCGCGCAGTATATTGCGATCTCCACGTAGTCTGGGGAAATGGACTCAGGAGTTTTCTCAAGGGCTGAGGAAAACAGAGAAATGGCAGCGAGGGTGAGGTCAGGCGAAGAAGGTTAAAGGAACACTCTCTAGGATTGCTCACATACGTGCTCTCCATTTGCACAGACAAACACGGGTATCAGACAGACAAACACAGAGACAGATGCTCTGGAGGTGACTCATGTATAAATGTAATCACCATCAACGAACTATCTAAACAAAAATTATTTTGTTGCATATCCTCTCCTCTCTATTTTTCCCAGCATTCCTAGTTAAAAAACAAAAAAAGTCTAGAAACTCCGTACAGGGCTTAACAGTCTAAACAGACAATTAAATCTTGACTCAGCCAGTCCAACCAGGCCTGCATCTGTCTGCATTCTGTGCTAATGTTGGAGACACGCGAGCACAAACCCACACCCACAAACGGTGGAACAATGCACGCTTCACTTCAGATTGCAAAAGGGAAAGCGCTGTCCTATGTGGTTGCGTATCGCCTGAACTTCCTGTCAGAAATGGTCTTAGTTTATATTTGAGTGTGTGTGTGTACACTATAGAAACAGACTGTTCCATAATGCATAGCCTCCAGACCACAAACAAGGCTTTTGTACAGTACAGCCAACCAAACTGCCTTTCAGCCAGCTGGAGGTGAAGCTACTGTACATGTAGGAACCTTTCTTCAGCCTACTTTGTATCTGCTGGTCCAAAAACCACAGCGCACACACACACACACACACTCACACACAGAGGAGTTACAGCCTTAAAGGCGCCAGCCATGCAGATAGAGCTCATTGAGTGTAATAAATATTGCATATTACTCCCAGAGGAAATAGCCTGCTTGTGATCATTATGCGGTATTGTTTACAGACAAAACCCAAACTATTATCTTGTTACAGCCTTAATGATGGTTTAATACTGGCTGTCTGTTGACAGCCAGCTACTCTCAGTCACATTTAATGCCCACTGTACTTTTTGAAAGGAACTTGAGCATCAATAATCACCCGTTTAGCCTGGAACTAACTCGTCGATGAGTTTTACGTTTCTCATCCTTTGGCATGTGTAATTACAGCCCGGACATTCAGCAATGGACAAAAATAGAGGATAAAAAAAAAAAAAAGGCCGTTGATAAATGACGACGCACACAAGCATAAGACATTCACTGTGCAGAAGTTGAAAGCTTTGGCTCTGATAATTGAGAAAGTCAAGCCAACGTGAAGCGAGTGTTGAGCTTTAACTTTCAACCTTTATTTCAGGGAGAAATAAGAGTTTTTAAAAGATTCCAATTATCAGAGCCAGAAGGGGGTAAAGTACAGCTTGAGGCATAAGGGGGAAAAAATGCTATTTTTGTGGCACTCAAAGACTTTCCCCGAGAAGCAGGAGACAAACAAGAGCAACAGAAGAAAGGCAAACCTTCCCCACGTTTTGGAGTCTACAGATACTTGAACTGTTGCTGGAGCACATCAAACCACCCTGTCATCTGCTGTGAACATTCAGCAGCTCACCAGGCCATATCATATTATAGAATACAAGCTCTCCCTGCTTTTTGCAGTGCATTGCCTTGGATGATGGCCGCGCTGGCTCCTAGCCATAATCTGCTATTTGAGTTGTGTGAATTAAACTCCAGAGGGAGGATTTGCCTTCCAGAGAGATAATTGAAATGACACAATCCAATCATTTTTGGAGAAGAATGAGAGCGGGAAAAGAGAAACAGAAGACAGTACATGGGTGTATATACCTGGAAGCACCGTCAACCAAGCAGTGTGATAGGAGATCCCAATAGAATTACCCGCCAAGCACGTATACTCCCCAGCATCTTCAAATGTTACATTGGGCAAGTAGAGAACTTCTATCTCCTTATCTGTGGTGTTAACACCTGCAGTCTGGAAGAGGAGGAGGAAAAGAGGGAAGGTAAAAGTAGAAGAGTCAAAGAGAGAAATAAGGACGGAGAGAGAAAGAGAAAAAAATGAGACCCCACAGCACCAAAAGAGAAATCAGAGGAGCTGGATAGTATCCATCGTTGCAGTTCCATCTAGAGGAAAGGATGTTGGGAACACTCGGGGCTGGAGAGGACAAGGGGACACAGATGGAACCCAATATGCCACCAAATACATGAGGAAAACAGAACAAGTGCACCAGAAACAAATACCCAAAAGGTTCCCATCACCCACAGAACCTGCTAAGAAAAGGCAAGTCTAAACCACACATTAGACACATGCACAACACAGAGCGAGCATGGAGAACACTGCAACACCATGCATCACCTTGACACAGCTCGCACAGAGAAAAGATGCTAGCTGTGTCAATTTTGATGTCTAGGTGTGCGGGCTCGTCCAGTGCTTCCATGGTCTCACCATTCCCAGGTAATGACGGGGGGTGGGGGAACAGCTATTACACAAGGGCGCAACATAAAGGGGGAAAACGGACTGTGATACCAGGACAACCAAGGGACCACCAGCAGGACCACCACAGCACAGCAAGTCAGGATCGAAGCCTATGAAACCACACCGGAAGGTAGGGAGGGAGTGTAGGTGAGTCAGGTCTCATAGGTTACCTGTGATGACAGTCAGCCAGCCCGACTGGCTGACCTCGCCTATATAATTGGAGGCTTTACAGATATATTCTCCAGCATCTTCTTCTGTCACGTTGGTGAGTGTGAGCACTTCCACGTCTGAGCTGTTAATGCCTGAACGCTGCAATCCACATACACACACATTCTTAGACACGCACATCAAATGAATGAGCAGAATTAGTCAAACATCACGACTACAGCTACTGCATATGGATCTGCAGGAGAGAGGAGAAAGCAGGAATCCCCACGGATAAAGCCTGGCACTTCATCAGGGGAAAAACAGAGTTAGTTCCTTATATGACTGCTGACATTCACCTGGAGTCACTGGCAGAACGCCACAACGGAGGGAAGGATTTTTGTTTACGCAGAAATAAAATCTAAAAGGGGAAGTGAGGCGACGTACCTTTAACACTCTGACATAGGGGTGTCCATCTATGCCGTAGCGGCTGCCGTTTTGAGTGATATGTTTTAGCCACTGGATGTGAGGTTGCGCATCACTGTAGACCTTGCAAACGAAACGGGCATCCTCTCCTACGTGGACAGTGGTGTTGGCCGGGAGGCCGGCCTGAAGAATAGGCCGATGAGGAGACCGCTCTGTTGAGAGAGAAGAAAATTAGAACATGTCTAAATGCCTGCCACTTCCCTTTAAGAGTCTCGTAGTTAAATCTGATGTTTAAGAATGTGAACGTTGATTTGTGCTTTATGCACTGTGAGTGTGAATGGTTTTTCCGAGCAGCCCAGGCAGGTATAATCGTGGTGATCCCGATGTGTAAATCTAAGAAGCTCTTGAAAGCTACAAACAAAACAAAGAGGAGTATCTAGCTCTAGTAAACAGAAATCAGGTAGAGGAGGACTTTTATAAATCGAGGCGCACATTGGGGGTTAACCTAAACTATGTGCCCGTCTCAGAAAGTGGAATACCTTCATAGCGCCCTCACATCTCGACTTATCTGCATTCTTTTACAAGCAAACATTTGCCCAGAGCGAGACCTGTGGAACAATGCCCCCTTTCAAACACCACCGCTATGAGGAGCCCACCAACCCCCACACTGACAGCAACCACCCGCTGCCACTAAACTCTCACACACGCACAAAGTGACATCACCGAGCCGGGGGCGCCGCAGCGCCTTTCCAAAACAAAGCCTGAAGGTAACTGTAGTGAATACGTTTGTGCCCGTGTATGTATACGTGTCGGGGTTCGTCACGGGGGATGGTCAGAGCGTGGAGGCTGGGAATTAGAGAGAAAGAGGGGGAAAAAAAGGGGGGGAATAATTAGCAGGGTGAAAGGAAGGAAAGACGAGGGATCGACAGATGGATAGTGCAGAACCTAAGAGGTAGAGACTTCTTCCATATGTCTGCATTTGTCTCCACGCTCCACCTTTTTGACATCTGTCAGATCAGATCAATCCCACCCCTTATTCCTCCCTCCTCCCCTCTGCACATTCCTAGAGCACGTCTTGTTTATTGTCTCTCTTTATTTGCCCCCATTTTCTCTCCTCTCCCATACTTCACGAGCCTCCGCACCCTCTCGATCTTTACAAAACAGGGAGAGGTGATCGACTTGAATTTCGTGCTCTCTTTGTAAAACATACCGAACAGCATTTTATGAGGCAATTTTCTTTTTAAAGAACTTTAAAACCATTTCAAAATGTGAAACAATCACACGCAGAGGAACATGTTGGCAAGTCAAAGGACTTTTTCCTTTTTCTTTTTTTCTTTAAATGAACTTGAAACTTTATTATAGCTGTGCCAATTCTGGCTGGAGCATGTAGAGCTGCATAGCTGACTACTTAGACTAAATGACAGAATATGTGGTGGTGTGAGAAAAATAGGCCACGTAATGATTTGGGAGAAACCCGCAAACAATAAAAGGCTGTGGAGCTTTTCTTTCTTAAATTAGAAAAAGGAATATCACGTGTGTGTGTGTGTGTGTGTGTGTGTGTGTGTGTGTGTGTGTGTGTACGTGCAAACTCTTAGATCTGATGTTGTGAGGACACAAGTCTGTTCATGCTATCACATGGAGGAGATTTGGTTTTGGGAAGTTCCCATAGCATAAATCATAAAGATTTAGCATGAAAGGTCAGTTTAAGTTTAGACTAAGGTTAGGGTGAGAGTTAAGGAGGTAGTAGTTACGGTCAAGTCTCCAGTAAATGAACACAAGGGATGGGAAAGTGTGTAACGCGTGGTTATGGGTCTAGAAGTTTCCCCATTGAACTTGTACAAGAACTTAAAGGAAGGAAGCAGAAGACATATTTGGAAAAAATTCCAGTAAGCAACAGAAAAATAGAAAAAGTTAAGATTTCTCTGTATCAAAACAAACGAAGAAGCAAACCCCGCATTAATTTTTAATGTGTTGTTGTTACCAGGGTCACAACAAGGAGATGGCATTCCATCGTTCAAGTCTGATGAACTTTGGGTGCTGGGTGGCTTGGCACACAGTGACCTGAAGGTCAGGGAGGGGCTTAGGAAAAACACAGCACAGCACAGGAGGACACAGGGCTACCCACAAAATGTCACATAGCCACCCCGATCTCTTTTAACTCCTCATTTCTCCACTTGCCATGGCTGTCACTTTGCAACCCTTTCTCCAAAGCCCAGCTTGAACCAGAGCAAACTGGCTGCTTTTGGTTTTAATAGCTGATCATGCAGGTCATTTGGACCAAAAAAAAAAAAAAGATAGATAAAAAAAGACAGATAAGAGCAGCATTTTCTGTCCCTGCTTCCCTTCCCTTCCTTTTCTCTCTTTCTCCCCCTCTCTCCATTCTGTCCAACCAGCTATAATGGAGTAAAATGAAGCAAGAGGTTGCAGGGGGCAGTGGCTGTGGAGCCAGACATGGAGGGGGTTTACTGCTCTGCAATAAAACAGAACAAAAACAGAAATATGCAGTCTGAAGGAGAGCTTGAGCTAAGTGCAGAGCGAAGCAGAGCAGGGGGCCTTAGTTGGGGAGCATTTGCGCCCGTGTGTCGACCTCCACATGTTTGTGTGCCTGTATGTTCACTTTTGTGCTAAAACCCTCAGGTATTTGATCTAAATCTGATACAGTGAAAATAATACTCATCATTACCATGGAGGCACTAATAAAAAGAGCGTGCAATTACAGCATGACTGCTAAAGATTAGTGACAGAGCTAGAACCATAAACTACAAATGCATGAGTGTAGCACCCTAAATTTTCTTCAGTGAAACAAGCAGCTACAGCTTCATGTCTATTCTGATTATTTGTGGTTTACCGACTAGGCTGTAGAAGAATTACTATGTCAGATAAGTTATGATGCGCAGCAAAGGCCAAAGGAGAACTGGTTCAAATCCAATTTAAGAGCAAAGTTGGTGTGCGCGCTTGCACAAGCACACAGGCTCACATTATCTACTATCTTTATCCCACTCCCCTTGTTGTCCGCACAATCGATTTTGCAAACCGAGCAGAAAAACAGTCTTTGCTGTCTTACTCCAAAGGTCAGAAAAGGGGGTTGACTGAGGTGGATCTGAACCCTGTGATACTACTCAGCCAGCATTCTGTTGTCTCAGAGTCTAGATGATAAAATCATTCACAAATCTTTTTACCGACTTGTAAGTTGTACTAAATGACAAGAATTTGACATTTCATGACATCATCAGGGGCCAATTTGTAAGAAACATGAGTAGGTTCAACATTTTTTTCTTGCAATTTGCATTAAACTATCCTTTAAATAGACACTAAACATTTGTTTTAGCTCGTTGGGACTGACATATCATCAAGACAAAGTACAAAAACAACCTATTTTATCAAATCACAACAGCAGTTGTGGCAAGACACTAAATTCCCTACAATACAGGGGAAACCCCAATTACAACACAAGTACAACCTGAACTTTATCTGAATTTATAACCAGGAAATTAGACTTCATATTTTTAAGATATTCCTGCAGTTTAACTAAGTGGTGTGTGTCATCTGGCTTCACCTAGACACAAAGATGGGTATCGTCTGCACAGAAATGAAAATGTATGCTATGCTATCAAACGATGCTGCCTTAGGGAAGCATGTATAATGTAAACAGAACTGGTCCTAGTACAGAACCCTGTGGAACTCCATAATTAACCTCAGTGTTTGAAGAGGGCTCTCCAGTTACATGAACAAACTGGATTTTATTAGACATGATTTAAACCACTGCAGCGCAGTACAAAATACTGTGGTGAACAGTATCAAACTCTGCACTGAGGTATAGCAAGACAAGCACAGAGATGAGTCCACTGTCAGAGGCCATAAGAAGATCATTTGTAACCTTCACTAAAGCTGTTTCTGTGCTTTGATGGGCTCTGAAACCTGACTAAAACACTTCAAATAAGCCTTTCCTCTGCAGAAAATCAATTAGCTGTTTCACAACTGCTCTTTCAAGATTCTTCAGAATCAAGAAAGAATTATCAAAGCAGCTGTATGCAATGATATGTCTGTGAGAGGGTTATGAGTATTTTTTTTAAATTATTTGTAAAGAAATTCATGAAGTAATTACTAGTTAACGTAAAAGGAACAGAGCTCCGACTGTCAGTCTGGCTACAGTGCTGAAGTCTGATCGTTTTCTTCAATCACTGCTGAATAGTGAGACAACCAGCTGTACAGAGGGCAAAAAAAATAGAGCAATAAAATGTTTTTCAGGCCAAATGAAGATCTTCTACATTAGTGAGACACCACTCAATTCTTCGAGTAGTTTCAAAATCATCAAATGTTTGACTTAACACAAATTAAATATTGTTATATAAATTATTGATAGCCATATTAAAACTGTTGACATATTCATCTTTAGCTTCCACATTCCTCACTGACCTCCACCTGCATCCAGAGCGCACCTGGGCAATTCCACAGAAGACGCTCTATTCCCACTGTGAGAAACACCCACTGCCCTCACCCTCCTCCATCCCTCCTTTGTTAGCCTCTCAGGTGTACTTTGAGCCTAAGTGTGTGTTTTGTGTGTAGTACTGACCCACTACGTCCAGGGTGTAGGTATGGTTGATGGATCCAAACTCGTTCTCCACCAAACAGGTGTAGTTGCCTTTGTCGGACGGCACCACGCTCTCCATGATCAGGGTCCAGTGTTGGCTACGCACCTGGGTAAAGGAGCAGTCTCTTGTTATGCGCAGACAGAAACTCACACAACTTATTATCACGTGCATGTCATTAAATACTGAGCCACTGAGCAGAGATTAGACACCGAGAGCCGGTGCTAAATGTGAAGACTAGGAGGAAAGAGAAAAAAAAAGGAGCACACGACAGAGGGGATCTGAAAAGAAGCATTAAAGAAACGAGACGATCCGGTGTGCAAACAATATTCAGGTCAGATTTGAACAAAATGACTCTCCAACGTCACAATCTTTTCTTTATTCATGCAGATTACATACCCTGATGGCGAAAGCTTCCCAGTTTATATCACCGTCTAAGTTCCGAGTGCTCTAAGAAGTACTTACACCGCAAGTACGCCTAACATTGCCCTGCGTGTTTCCACGTTAGCCGTCTACCTCTTCTGTCAACCACTGCTATTTCATTTAGTCTCCCCCATCCTGTAGTCAAAGCCATTTTAAAAACATACAGTTATTCATACTTATTTGCAAAAATAGCTTCACCTCTGTGTGGCATCAGCAGGTGTGAGTTGACAATAGAGTTTCCATCAGCACACTGAAGAGACACTGTAGCCACTGCTTGTACAGGCCTACATTTCACACAATGGAGAGATTATACTACAGGGCTGGGCTCAGGTACAGCTTTTGTCCTGCCTTTGTTGACAAAAAGAGAGAAATGAACTGTCCACGGTAGATTTGACAGCTTGACTGTGTCATTTCCGCCACGTCGTGGCTGTTTTTTGTCCGTGCTGTAATGAGTGTGCTGAAAGCCAACGGGAAGCAACATTAGCGGCTACATCAACATTAATCTGCACCTAAACTTTCCTGGCAGTGAAATGTGTTTCCTCATAAACCACAAGTCATTAACCAGGAGCCCCAGACTCATTCAGCATCACTGGGTCTTTTCATAAATGAATTTCATAACTGTCCATTTGCATTATTAATGCACTTCATCAGTACGACTCCATTGTATACAGTAAGGGGACAAAGAGATGAATTTAAAGGAGAGAAAATAAACTGTAACCAAATTGCGTATCAGACTAGCACCAGTTTAATCTACACCTGGAATCAAAGGTGTAAACATGCACAGCACATGAATTTTAAATATAAACAAGCTCAGCTATAGCATTTGTAAATCATATTTCAGGTCAAAAGAATAACAAGCTGGAATCACTACAAGTCTCCAACCTAAAGCCAGTGGGACAGGTTCTCCCTGATCGAGTTACCTCAACATTGTGAACTCATTTCAAACCTGACGCTACCGACTTTCTCTATGCATTACTGTTTAGGAGCATTTAACCCTTATGTCCTGGGCTTACATTTCTAATTGTTGGGGGTATAGAACCATGTCAAGTTACAGTGAGAGGCTCTGCAAAGTATCCCGGTGAGAAGAGGCGCACGGATGAGCAATTCCAATTTCACACCAGAAACCCTGCCCTCGTTTCCTCTGTCTTTCCTCCTCCCGTCTCTCCAGCGAAGGGTGGAAAAGGGGTGAAAGGACATTCAGGGAAGTATTGAAAGGAGAAGGCTCTCCTTGCAAATAAAATTCACAAAATGGCCATGAGAACCGCAGCCCAGAAAAGCAGCCAAAACCCAGAGAGGGAAGTGAGTTGACGTTAGTAATAAAAATTCTGATCTATTAGTGTTTATCCTACCTTATACCCTCCCATGCGGTCCTCTTGGCGGAAAGGCTTGCTGTTTTTAAGCCAGCGCAGCTTGGGCTTGGGGTTGCCTCCTGCAGCACAGCGGAACTTGACTGTGTTGGCAGCTGGCACCGCATGCAGCTTCTTCTCCATCTTTGCTGATGAGGTCCAATACGGCGCGCCTGCAACCAGAGAACAGTTGGTGTTGAGTGAGGCTGAGATTTCCTAATAATGTCCTCGGCATTAACATTTTGGCAGTGGGACTGCAGACTGGCTAAGGCATGTACATTTGAAGAATTACTGCAAGAAGAGACAAACCTGAAGCATTTGTAAAACTCCCAGGGCTTTGGGAACCCCAAACCCCCCCCTCCAACAGAACAAAAACCAGAGCTCAACATTCACAGAGCTAAACAAAAACACACACTTTTCCTGCAGGCTCGACGGGGTGTTGCAGGGGGGGAAAAACATCGGCTCTAAGGGGAGAATGTGCCTGGGCGTTGCCAAGAGGGTAACTAGACCATCACATTCAATTTCATCTCATTCCACTTAGCAGCTTTTTTCCTCCCTCCACTTCCTCCAATTACCATAGCTGCCCTGTTTATCTGCCTGTCACTTGGCTAGATATGGACAGCAGGGCCCAGGACGCTTATCACCTTTTGAAAATCATTATGTGCCGTCAGGGGAGAAAATGAATGTCACATTTAACGAAGGATATCAGAGTTTTCGCTGCATACTTTTGTCCAGATTCATATCAACACCAAACTGACAACCGTTATTTCTCCCACTGAAATCTGTCACCGTGCTTGTGTTTCGTCCATTTGTCAGCTCCTTTTTTTCCCTCACAATTTCAGTCACTCAGTCAGCTGGATTCCCCCGCCCCTCTTTTTTTTCTCTGCACCTGGGAGGGTGATTGCCTAAGCAGATGGGACTCGGAGGGGAAGAGAAACTCCAAGTCAAACAACAATCCAAACGGTCTTCCACACCATCACTTCCCCCTCATATGGCAAGTAACAGAGGGAATACCCAAAGATAAGACTGCTACTGGTTCAAACACAAGCTTAAATTGAAGGAGACTATTCCCTGCACTCTCTTTCCTTCCCGCCCATACTATCAGCAGAAGCCACCAATCATTTCTCTGGCTTAAACAACCGGACAAGTCAAGCATATTTGGAAAGTACAGTCAGTAAACATCGCTCTTCCTTCCTGAATGGATGCATACAGTAAGTGCTCGCACTATAATTAGTCACTACCCCTTTCATCTTCCTCCTCACTCTCACTATCACTGCTCTTCTTTTTCCTCCAGCTTCACTTCCGCACACTCGCCCTGTTATCACTCCATCCATTCAGACAGAGACAGATTAGGTGGAGACTAACCCATCGTGAGCCCGTCTCTCAAAACCGACCTCTGACCTCAAACTGGCAGCCGGTCAGAAGATGAGGTTGAGACATAAAAGGTGAGCAGTGCAGTTTCCCATGCTCTCTGTCCAGAGGGATAGCACTTCAAATCCAACAAGCCCTCAGATGAAGCCAAACTCTCGCTGGCCCAAACGCTTTGGCCTCCAGGAATCCCTGCCGCCCCCAAAGCCCTGCACATCCGGCTCCCCGCTCACGGCTGTTTATCCTTAGCTGGCCTGGGGTGAGCTGAGGTTATCTAACTCAGGCACTGAGAGTCAAGATTTTTTTTTCTCTCTAAGCTCCTCTAGAGAGCTAAATCTGCAAGTGTCCCAGAGAAGTATTTCATTGTTGAAATGATTTCTTGTTAAGCTGCAATATCCTCCTGTTTACCGTTCATCTGTGCAAGCTGAACAAGTGATTTTCTTTTAATGGTAAATTAGTACCAGTGCTGGAAAAATAAAATAGAAATCTGTCAAATCAAAGTACCTCTAAAATGTCAACTTTTACCATGTTCATATGGGTTCTTCACCAAGACAAATTTGATATAAAAGCATTCAATTTGTAATGTTATTCTTGATCAAGCCGAAACGCTGTTATTTATTTTGACAACCTTTCATGATGGCAGGATTTCCTAAATCCAAAAAAGAAATATGCAACAAACGAAGGAAGCTTCAAAGAGTTATTACATATGTTTAACACATGTGAGGAAGGTTTAATTCGATCTGAAAGATAGTGGCAGATCAATCGTCATCAAGTTTTGATTCAGACATTGTTTAATCCTGGTTGGTTCGCTCAGATTTATGACATCAACTTTTCTTCAGCTGAGTCCCACCCAACAAGGAAGATGATGTCATAAGCAAAGTAAAAACTGAGACGGGGAGGAGTTCCCTTATAAAAATTCGAAAGATGCACAACTTTTACCAAAGGGAACACGCAATAAAAGTGAGCAATCATCTAAACAACACAACTGTAAACAGGATACAGATCTGATGATTTAGACCCGAGCTTAGAGCGAAGCTCCTCGTGGCTTTTCAACTTAATCATGACATCACTCCCCCCTGCCCCCTCTTCCCTCCATCCACCACCCTAAGCATGGCTCCCCTCACAGATCCCTGTAGAGGCTCCTCTGCATCTTCTCCAATTACACCACCCCCCGCTGATAAACAAACAAATTTCCATCTTTTCTTCACTAGCATATGTTCGTCAGTCTTCTGTACAAAGTTTAAACAAAATGCTCTGTGTTGCCCGATCCAGAAAATAAAGCCACGAATATAAAGCTACACCCCTCACTCTCCACTCTCCTTCCCTCCCACGCCCACCCTCCTCCTTCTCGGCCCGAGGCCAAGGCTCCACGCCATGCTCAGAAAAGAGTTGGTACTGATCCAACACACCCCCACTCCCCTGCCTCTTTTTCTCCCTTCCCCCCCCCCCTTTCTTTTAATAATAATCTTGGTTTTGAATTTTCAGAAACACACACGGCGAGAAAATGCAACTGTACTGCCAGAACAGCTTCGCCTTTGTTTTCAAACAGCTTATTACCACATGAGTGGCTGGATCTTTTCTCCCTCCACCATTTTTTTCTTTTACTCTTGCTCGAGTTCTGCTCCCCCCCCCAACCATCACCACCACATATTTAATGGATTTCAGGCAATTACAGTCAGCCCAAAAGTGGAGCAGGAGAACTCACGATGAGACGCAGCGCCTGTGGAGAAGTTTAACAAGATGTGGAAGCCCTCAACTTTGTTTCAGCCTCCTTTTCGTGAGAGCGTATGCGATCGCAAGCGTGCACATGCGCATGTGCAGAAACATCCCAGATACTCGCCACAAAGTTGGGTAAAGAACTTTCTCTTTCTCACACACAAACCCATCAGGTGGGTAACTGAGTCCAGATGGGCATCTTTCATAATGGATGAGCCCAGCTGACTAAATGGCTGACAGGATGGCTCCATGAGGCCTGACTACCTGTGAGACACAAGCTAGAAGAATGTAAGGAATCCCTGCACTCCCCTGGAGCGTCCAGCCTGAAATACACACACACACACACACACACACACACACACACACACAC